TGGTGAGTATCAAAGACATTGACAGCAGACATTTATTAAAGAGAGAACATTCCAAATAAACTGTTTCCATTTTGTATCACTCAATGAGAAGATTTACCTTAAACAAGGGATGCGAATGAAGTCAAGATTGTAATTTTAGTTGAACAAAACTACTACGATTGGTAAAAAAACCCATATCATATCATATTTTCTTTTCAACTGCCTAATATGCAATGTAAATAAGTGAGCAATTGTTTTCGGAATGATATTACAGACACACGTAATGGCTTTTGACACACATTTTTTTATTGCCTCAGCCCAAACTTGTTACAATAGCATTTTGACAACACTTTTTGGAAAGCCTGCTGATCAGTCATACAATTATATTTATGGTATATCATTATACAAGGTACAACCCTTAACCATGACATGTGATTTAAAGTAACATATGTTATAACTTTTTAATTAAAAGCTAACAAAGTTGGGTACTCTTGTTAGAGTTTTCATTCGTTATTCGAGATAACCAAATCCTTTTGCTCCTTACCCGTGTGAAATGGCGAAGCGGACAGTAGGCTGTTCAAAATAGTTTCAAGTTATCCTATGGATCGAAACGAGGTTCTGTGAAAGCCTACATGTAAATACACTGCATCATTTAAAAGAATGAAGTAATAAAGCATGAGGCATAACTGGACTTGTAAAATGTTTTACGACCAAAGAGGTACCTGCATATAGCCTGACCCACATTTGCGTTTCTTATGACCTTTTAATAAGGAGCTATCAAAAATTGGCACACTTTTTAAAAACGCACTGTTTAAGATGCTGTGTTCTGAAGTGCATGCTCAGTAAAGCCCCTTTCATAACAAACTAGTTCTCACTACGTTTTGGAACGGTCATAGAAATTCGTAAAACGGGTTGTGGTCGGAGTAAAATTCGTAAATAATGTCTATAATACGACCCTAGTTTGTTCATAAACAGTCCTCAATACGTCCATCTCGTCTGTACCCCGTCCACAGTCAGTTCATATCAAGTTCAGATCGGGTAAATTTGTCATTTACAGGTAGTTCAAGCCAGTAAGTAGTCAGTTTATACCCGTTATTAATTAGTTTACCTCGTTCCCATTACGACCGAACCCATTCTAACAAGTTCAGAGACAGTTCAGCTCGTCCTCATCTCGTTCGTAGTGCGTTCGAACGCGTTACTGAGCGTGTGGAATCACGTCCTGGCTTAAGGGTTATAAAACCCCAACGCGTTCTTGCCATTACTTATTCCCGTTCAACTTCAACGATTCAAGCTTTGCAAATGAAGACATTCAAGTGAAGCCCCCATCACACCAAACTAGTTCTCACTACGTTCTGTAAAATGTTGCCAAACGTGCTAAAACTGTGTGCAAACGGAGTGAACGTAGAATGGACGGGCTCTATGGACGGGCTCGGACTGGCTTGGACGGAAAGGGTACTCTAAAAATTTGAGGCTGTTCAAAATTGTCCCCTTCCTGCAATTAGACGGACTGACAACGTAATTTAAAACGAGATGGACGTACTACGAACGGAATTACCGTACTTCGGTCCGACAAGGAACGTGTTACGAATTAGTGAGAATGTTTTGGACGTATTGGGAACGAGGTAGAACTAGTTGAGAACTGGTTTATACTGATTACATACGGGCTTGGACTGCTTGGAAATGGCAAATTTACCCGATCTGAACTTGATATGAACTGACTGTGGACGAGGTACAGACGAGATGGACGTATTGAGGACTGTTTATTAACGATCTAAGATCGTATTATAAACGTTATTTACACATTCAAATGATTCAACCCCGACCACTACCCGTTTTTTACGATTTTCTAGGACGGTTCCGGAACGTAGTGGAAACTAGGTTGGTGTGAAGGGGGCTTAGCTGCTGCTAATTGATACTCGGCACCACAGCACGTTGTAACACGTTCCTAGTAGGACCGAAGTACGGCAATTCCGTTCATAGTACGGCAATCAGTCCGTTTGTAGTACGTCATCCACGTTTTAAGTACGTTGTCACTCTGTCTAATTGCAGGACGGGGAATTTTTTTTAAATATTGTAAATTCATAATTATTGATTTGTATTGGAATAGTTTACCAAAAGTCACATTTCTCATGATTTTAACAGAAAAAATAACTCTATATTAGTGTATCCACACAAAAACACGTTACTATCAATCTAACTTGGATGCTGGTGTGAAGAATTACGATTCTTAGGGGGGAAATAGGAAATTTATATTTTCAATATGAAGAAAACATGTAGTGGATAGTGAGAACATGACGTCACAGACTCATGAGTGAATTTCCAATTTGTCTTGTGACTTTCATTGTTCCATAGATTTATTTTTCTGCTTCTATTGAAATTAAGTTGTTGTTGGAGTGGACTTGGCCTTTAGGTAATGTTAATTCCATTAGTAATATTGATTTTCTTGGAGTAATCTTGATTTGCGTACAGCGCTTTGAAACTTTTGTGTCACAAGCGCTGTATAAATTTTTCGCATTATTATTATTATAATATCATCGGCTATTCTATCGGCTTTTCTCCTCTGTACCATTCATAGTGGCTGTTTCATTAGATGCGTCCGGATGCATCCGATAAAAATCAGGCCAATTTGAAAGGGGTATTATCCATTGCTTTCACTTTCTCCCTCTATCAATAACAAAAGAGGGGCAAAGGGGAAAAAAGAAGAAGAAAAATTCATGTCACATTTCCTCCTTTTGATATCAGTTTCAGCCTTTATTTGGCATGAATAAAAGTACCCTTTACAAGTCATTGCAGTACGTGCACTACTACGTTACTCAAAGCTGGTCTATGATGTCTAGGCCTAATGTGTGCATTAACGTGCAACTTTGAACAATAACTGTTATCTCAGTTTTGGTGGGATTTTCAATTGTTGTTACAGTTCGATTTATGAGCTAAAAGCTCCTTTAAGTGTAAAAAAATCCCATCCGCTGTTGAAAAGTGCACTTCTATTTTCTCCAGGGGAGTGTTTCACACAGAATAAGATCGACTTTAAGTGGGACTTAACTATTGCAGGCCATTCATGCCACTGTTTGCACTCACCATTTAGTGGCATTGGTCTCTCAAGGGACGTACAAATCATGGTCTCAAATCTACAGAATTTATATTTGTTGATAATTCATTATTGAAGGAAAAAATATTATCTAAAGATCATAATGGCAAAAGCAACCAGTGGCATGAACGGCCTGCCACAGGTAATTCCAACTTAAAGTCGATCTTAGGCTTTGTGAAACACCCCCTGCACACATTGATATTCTTTAATCTTTCAAATCTGCTCTGCTGTGCGGAATGAATGGATGTCCAATATTTGCATGTCAAAGTAAGAGATCAATCATCCTTTTTATGATGGCAATTTTTCCGAGCAGATTTATAAGCTAATAATTGATCACTTTACAACGTAGAAAAGTGCACTTGCATGGCGAAACTACATTTGCTATCTGACTGACAGTAAAAGGAGGAAAAAATTGTCTATATAGCTCATACATAATACTTATGTAATATATAATTTTTGGTATTATTTATACTATATTACAATACATATAGTGATACAAAAACAAAAATTCCAATGAATTGTACTAGTTTACTTTCAATACTGTACAATACTTTCTTCCGGCAACAAACGAATAATTCGGGAAAGAAATCCATGATTTTGTCACTAGGCATAAGAAACAATCAAGCAGACGCCAGTTCAAAGTTCAAATCTGATGCTAAAAGAGGAGATGTTCAGCGTTAAAATTATATCTAACTCATTACAGTTGGATGGTCGGTCCTAACCGATTTTATAGTCTTTAGTATAGAGAAATGGATATTAAAGTCTGTAATCTATTCAAGCCCTCTGACTCGAAAGGAGTAGCGCAAGGTGACAAGAAGGATTAGGACTAAACAATTCGTAACAGAAAAAACGAAACCGATAATTATCGATGTTCTATCATAACTTAATCACCATTATAATTAATAAATGACACATATTTGCGAAGTTTAGACCCTCTTCTTTCATTTGATGCAACTCATATAATAGATGTTTCACGCATAAGGGATTAAAAACAATTTGAAGGGAGGGTAACAAAAAGTCTTTTGGCGGGCGGTATTGAAATTGCAAAGAGAAAAATCACATTTCTTTCATTTCAAAGACTTCATGCATATGGCTGATCGTCAACGAAACGGAGTTAAGTCTTTTGTCAGCTCTGTTTGTTTCTACGCCAGTAAAAACGAATTCGTTTACTAAAATTATGGAAATGCAAGCATTACTTTAAACAAACAGAACTTTGTTCTTACTGGCTCATTTTTCCTGTTTGAGGTGTCATGAAAGGGCAAAAAATTATCTTTCTAGTAATGTGCTTTCTCTTTGAAAATCAGATACCTTCCGCCAAATGACTTTTTGGTACCCTCTCTTCAAAGTTTTCTTTATCATTAATGCGTGGAATATGCATCGTATGTGTTGCAACAAATGAACGAAGAGGATCTCAGCTTTACCAACATGTGTCATTCACTAATTATAATTGTGATTAAGTTATGATAAAACATCGATAATTCTCGGTTTCTTTTTTCCGGGACGCAATGTATATAATTTCCTGTGAAGGGATTCTCAAATTGTCCTCGGATTTTGCGCACTAATTAGGCACATCCAGTACTGTGTTGTGACCAAGGATTGTTGCAACATGTTATTCTTGTTTAAGTAGTATGAGATCAAAAAGAGACAAATAGTCGGGGTGATGAAAAAATTAATTGAAATTACTGTAACAGACTCAAGATCTAACAATCTATTTCTACAAAAACTATCCAAAATTCAACTTTCAGATTATTCTGTGCTTCCATATTTAGAAATTAAATTTTTAAAAATGTATACTCTTTTAGGAAATACTACAGAGTATAAGGATTGGACCATCTTGGCCAAATGCACCTAATTGAGCTATATTTGAGAAATTCCACAATGCAACATTTTGGTGGATTCAGTTGTGTTGCTTGGTAACATTTATAAGTATCATCTAGATATTACTGTCAGACCTTTGTGCAGCTGTTGTAGTCGACGTGGATTCAAGAACATTATCACCGAAAGGAGATGCGGCATCCTGCTTTTGACAGGAGAACATCTGTCTCAAAGCAACACGGAACTCTCCGAACCAGACGATGTAGATCACGGGGTTCATACACGAGTTCAACGTCGTGAGGAGGATGATGGACGTGTGGAGGGTACTCCCGACGTAGGACGGCGGCAAGACACCGATGGTGTAAAGAAGGAAGCTCACCTGGCCGGGTCCCCAGGTGAGGACGTAGATGAGAATGACGATGAGCATGAGCTTGAGGACGCGGTTACGGGCTTTGACGTGGAACGACACGGCCATCTGGCCCCGGAAACGAACAGAACTTCGCTGCAGGGTACAGACAATGGCCACCTGGGTGACCAGCATCACGCTGCATGGGAACAAGAGACGGAAACTGAACATGAAGTAGCCATAGACTGCTTTCCAGGCTGGAGATATAAAGCTGACTGTGCATCTGTGATTGACAGGATCGACGATGATTGTTGTAGCGATGAAGATGATGTAGACAGCTATAGAAGTGACCCAGATTAAGGAGATGACGACACCAAGGATCCGTTTCTTGACCATGAGCTGATTGAAGCGCAGAGGGTAGGTGATGGCCAGGAACCGTTCCACAGAGATTGTGGTTAGGATGTAGATGGATGAGGTGAAGGATACGAAGAGGAAGAACCCCGGGAGTGTCATCTTGCAGTAGAGCTTTCCTAGGTGAGTTGTTGGAACAGTCGCTGCCGAGGGCAAAGGAATGATGAAAATCGACGTCAGGAAGTCAGCCACTGCAAGGGCACCTATCAGGGTATCCGTCGAACGACTATCAGCGGCTCGGCGCCTATTGAGGACTTGAATCACCAAAAAGTTCCCGATGATTCCTATCACAGCAGACACTAGATGAAGGGCCTCGAAGTAGGTCCAGGAAAAGGAACGCCATGTCCACTCAACAACGGGTGGAGATGTCGAATTAAACAGGTCGTCTTCTTCAGCCATGTTGTTATTAGTTATGAAGACACTCTTCAAGTCGAAACTAATTTCAAGCATCCAATGTGGATAAGATTTATGTTCTCTTACACGTATTTCATAAATGCGGCTGCTTAAATCAGGAAACTTGTGGAAACCTTAATGGCAACTACTGCGCTTTTAAGGCGATGCAATATGATTTGCAAGTTTTTTTTTAAAGAGGACTATGCTATATCCCTCGGTTGTTGCGAACGTGATATTCCGGTTTTGGTGAATTCCTTAAACAAACAATCCCATGATAATCTTAATCCATTCTTTACTGACAATATGATGCTGAAAATCTATTCATGAGATGAAAGAGAAAATGATAACACATATCTGACCTTCACAGTTTCTCCATCAATATAAGTGTCAATCTTTACACTAAAAAACGATACATACTGGAAATCACCATGGTTTCTACGTGCGTGTCAATTTGATCTGTTTTCTTTTCCAAATCAATTAAAGGAGATACCCGATATATACAAATATGAAAGCTTCTTTGCAAAACGGACGTCTTTGCCGGAAATGTAAAAATCGGCTTTTACCTAACTGCTCCTGCTTTCCAATATGCAGAAAGTTGTTTCGGTCGCTGGACAGAAATATAACATTTTCATTAAACAAAGCTCATTTTCGAAAGTAGAGCAACACCAAACATTGCAAAGAAATCTTCAAGAAACGTCACAGCAGCTCATCTATCTTTTTACAAACAGACACGCCATTAAACTTTCCCTTGAGTTATCATGGTAATTACGGGATGCAAATTGTGCTCCAGTTCTTTCAGAGAATCATGACAATAAGGCAAGTCAACTCATAAGTAGCCCCTCATTCAATCCATTGAGAAAAAAATTAAGTGTGTTGCTGCTATTCTCCTCCGTTATTAATTTGGTTCAGATACTAAGGGCAAAGTTGTTGTTGGTAGACTGAAGATGATCGTGCTTAATGAAAAGAAGATGATGCTCTGAAAAAGACAAGCATCGGGTCTGGCATTCGTGTGGCATTCAGTGGCATTTCTAGACCTTGGCTTCGCGGGGTGTGGTAAATCATCTAAATTTTCGAACTAAATGGCTATCCACTATTCAGCTGAAAAATCACATGTATTGAATTTATGTGTGGCTGGGTGAAAAACGTGGAATGGAGGGGGGGGGGGATGGGGTGAGTGACGTACCCTTAGTTTATCTCTTCGTAATTTGTAAATTGTGCTTTTGATCTAAATTCGATTCAAAATTCTCCGAACTTTAGGTCTGTAGGAAGTTTCCAGGATCACGTGATGACTATCCACCATTTAGTGTCGTTTTTTTCTCTCTCGATTCTGATTTATTTTTCTTTCTTTCTTTAGGGAGGGGGGGGGGGGTAAATGTACCCCTTGCCCCCTTAAATACGCTAGTGCTGCAGTTTCTTGGTTTACATTAAGCGTACGTGATCATTCGGAAGGAAGTGTAGTGGTATCGACTGACATTTCACGAGAAATCTCTGACCGTGAACGTAAAACAGGCTCAAATAACACGAATCGGTAAATTTTCAACTTGTTGCAAAGAGGAAATGCGAAACAATATGTAAGGTCGGCAATGACGTCATGTAAAGGTATATTTATCAAAGCCATCGTAACAATAAATTTAACATATAAAATTTGTTTTTAGTTTTTTAATATGAAGCTACTAAGTAAATTCATGAAATTACTTCATAAAAAAAACACTTAGCAAAAAGAAACAAAAGCAATTTTCTATGAGAATCAATTGGGACCACGTTTCGATATTTCACGATCAGATGGGCACATTCATTAAACCGTTAGAAGATCTGATTAAAAAAATAACCAAGTAGTCATTCATATGTTCATGAAAATGAGCATTTGTAAGACATATAATGCTCAACAATAAAAACAAAGAATGAGAAACGATGAGGGGGATTACGCTTTGAATGTCAAGTGTAGTCTTGGAACTGCATGGTTTTGACAAGCACGGGTAAGATGGCTCTCCCTTTCACCCAAGATCGTTGACGAGCCATAAGATACCACTATCAAATGCTAATCAACATTTGAATGGCCACATGCCCCATTTTCTTTTCAATTTACTTGCAAAGTTAGTTACTCTTAAACGGCTATGCTCACTCATGCGTTGATGGTATGATTTTAACTGAACATCGCTTTAAAAAGGATAAGTGTTTGCTTATCTTGATATATCAAATATTACTTTATATTAGACATTTGTTTAAAAATCTTGAATATATAAATATATTTTTAGCAAGTATCCTATTGGCTGAGAATGCGTCACGTGATACCCATCAATACACCCTTTCACGTTTACAAGAGTGCGCATGCGCCAACATGGGCGCCATTTTAAATTGCGATTAAATATTGCAAGTAACCTGTATTTGATGCAGCATGCAAAGTGGATCGTCAAAATGATGTGAGCGAGCAGCGCAGGCAGTGACGCAACAATACATGCGCGTCTGAAAATATTGATGACGTAATGCTTACTCGCAAATTAAGATGACGGCCTTAACCGTGAAGGGGTGTATTTTATATATGTGCACGGGCTTGTAATAATACAACCTTCTTTTGTACAAAAGTTAATTTGACTGCACACCTCTTCTCCCCTACCTCTACCTGAATGTAATCGAGAGGACATTAGGATCAAGCCATGACGTCCAAAATACCCTCAATTCTATAAAACAAATATAGCATGCATTTTTTTTTGTTCAAAATAACATATATTCATATCCAAATTCAGAGTTCCCCGCTTGGCAGTGTAATTAAACGTCGGCCTGCGGCCTCGGCGAAATACGATACCACTAGGTAAATTAAAAGTTTCGGTTCATATATTTTATTTTATATTGAACGCCGGACCATGCAATATGTGTATAAAAGTCGCAATCTTCTATTCTTGTGGAGTGCAGTCTTAGATCTATTCGTCACTACCGCTATAAGTTGCAATCTGACGCTCCCCAACTGATCTTTTTCAAGCGATCAAATATTCAATATTCGGAAAGCTAATGGGTGAGCAACACAAATTATGAAGATCAGTACATTATCATGCCAACATGTAGAACAAAATGTGTGAATTAAACATTGAATTCATTTCTTCTTTTCATTGCAATCATTAAAGAAACATAACTTCGGAAGGGCGTGTGGCTGTTACAGATACATCGACGGGTTTGTATGCCAATAATCCAAGGCCAACTTTGTTTTTATAATTCTTACCTTCATACCTGGCCGAACGATGGAAAGGGTTATTGGTCAACACCAATACTTTTGTTGTTTGTAGTTATGTTGCTCATGATGTTTCACGATTCTTATAAAAGAGAGATTATTTAGGGTAACGATAAATGACATATGCATTCACTAGAATGGCTAGTGACACTTTAGAACCTCTTAATCTTACGCTTTAACGATGATCCGCCATTCTTGCGAAGGGGAAGCGTAAAATAATAGGCCGTCTCCAAAAAAAGAAGTTGACAGCTTTTGAAAACCTGACATGCTTGCTAGTTATCTATAAATCACTAATATTTCAAAATAGCCCCCTCTCTCCATCTCTCTGTGTCTCTTTCTGTCTGTCCGCCTGTTTGTCTCCCCCTTTTCTCCCCCTCTCTCGTCCTCTCTCTGTCTTTGTCTTTGACTTTCTCAATCCCCTTCTCTCCCCCGCTCTCTTTTTTTATGTCAGTTAGTCCATGTCTTTACATGTCTTTGTCTTTGTCTCTTGCCATTTTTCTATTAATGTATTTTTCCCTCTGAAAGAGAATAGGATGAAAAATTTGCGAATTAAATTTTAGTACATTTATATCATGATTACTTGATAGATGTATTAGACTCTGAATTAGTTTCAATATCAAAACCTCTAACACTTTAACTGGTTATATTTCTGCCAGTGGAACGTGTGCCTTTGTAATTTTATCAAATGAAATGTGTACCTTTAACATTTTGTCTGTTGCATATTTACCTGTGACATTTTCTACTCTGAATTCAACTTCCAAATCGATTCAATTGAATTAAAAAAGTTAATTGAGTGTAATATAAACCATATGATCATCCTCAATTTTGATAAAGGGGGGTACAAAAATAAAAATGAATGAGTGAAAATGTCGGACAAAATATAGACAGAAATAGCAAAAATGTACGTAACTCTCAGGAAATATAATACAGAGATGATAATAAATGACAAATCTCGTAATTCTTTTTACAACTTGTATTTTCAGCAAAGAAAAGAAAAGAATAGCCTGATCATAATAAAAACATTCTCAAAATCATGTTAACCTGTTGACCACTGAATTAATTAATTGTCATAGGTTTAATTGACGACCCACCCGGCCCCAGAAGGCAATGGCTTAATAAATGATAGTGAAAATCATTTCGGGTAACTATCCCCCCCCCCCCCTAGTTAGTGATTATGTCACATCAGTTTCATGTTTTTGTAAATACTTTATATGATATGATATGATTGGAACAGACTTGACCATCAGAAGGGGAATCATGGAAAGAAAACTAAACTATTTGGGGCACATTGTTAGGAGAACTGAAGGTGTTGAAAAGCAAATACTGCAAGGAGCAGTCGAAGGAAAACGGGGTAGAGGTCGTCCACCAATATCTTGGACTGATGATATCAAGAAAGTATCTGGAAGGAATGAAAGGTACAATGCAAATGGCAGGTGAAAGAGTTGCATGGCGTGCTCTCGTGAAGACCACAGCAGCGCTTTACAGCGCCACCTGAAGTTGATGATGATGATATGTTATGTTACAATTGCATTATTTCCGTACATGCGCATGAACAAATATGTTTGTGAATGCAGCAAAGGTTTGAAAAACCTGTACAAAAAAAAATGTAAAGTAAAGAAATATAAACAGATAAATGATCGTAAAAACAATATCAGAAACTAATAAATGTATCAATAAAAATAAGTTAAGAAGATAAAATATGAATAGAAAAGCACGATTTTTTGAGGGTCGATGTAATGCACGTTACGATGGAAGCAGGCTGCTATTAAGAGGCATGATACATACAATAAACAAGAACAGACAGTTATGCACTGTCAGACAATTTAATAACAACCGTCATTACATAACCTTCATGAATATTTCTGGCATGAAAATTAGTCTGAATATTTCATGAATACACATGTGATTAAATTATAAGAATGCGTCACGCTTGGATGCTCTTGCTTTAGAAGGATAATGGATGGCATCGTTTTCTCTCTCTCTCTCTCTCTATCTGTCTCTCTTTCTCTGTCTGTCTATGTCTGTCTCTCCGTCTCTCTCACACACAAACACACACGTGTATTGATCACATCAATGATTTGGGCTTATTTCAATAAAGAACAATATTCAGGTGGGGCCGTGCATCTCAGATTTAACATTGTTAAATTATCCCTTTAAAGGATAGGTATTAATAACGTCGGACATTTTTTATGGGGTTGGGGAGGGGGGGGGGGGTCGATGTAATGGATGTTACGATGGAAACAGGCTGTTATTAAGAGGCATGATACATACAATAAACAAGCACAGACAGTTATGCACTGTCAGACAATTTAATAACAACCGTCATCACATAACCTTCATGAATATTTCTGGCATGAAAATTAGTCTGAATATTTCATGAATACACATGTGATTAAATTATAAGAATGCGTCACGCTTGGATGCTCTTGCTTTAGAAGGATAATGGATGGCATCGTTTTCTCTCTCTCTCTCTCTCTCTCTATCTGTCTCTCTTTCTCTGTCTGTCTATGTCTGTCTCTCCGTCTCTCTCACACACAAACACACACGTGTATTGATCACATCAATGATTTGGGCTTATTTTAATAAAGAACAATATTCATTATATCGTGTAATAGAATAGATTTTTAATGTTAGTACGTGCTACATCTTATTGAATCGTATTACTAAAACAAGTGTCATAAGTAGTTCATTAAATGCATACTGGATAGTAGAAATCGATAGTACAGATAATTACTTTCCCAATTCGGCGATACCTAGCTTGATACTGTTTTAACCGCTCAACAAACCGCAACCAAATAATGGATGGTTGTAGTCATTCGCCATATTATGTATCTCCACCACTGGTTTCTTTTTTAAACTTCTATTATCTTCTTTTTCTTTCTCGGTGTTTTCTTTAATACTTCGGTGTTTTCTTCCATTTTCATCACGTTTTATTTCTGCCATCGATCCTTTCCCATTACCCCTTGGGCAAGATCCACTCACCAAATAGCCACACACCGTATAATATACTTTAATCTTGCCGACAAACAATACCTGACCTAAATATATACTCTTTCCTTTTTCGAAAATAGTTATAAACGCACATTTTTCCGAAATTAAAAATTCAGTTTGACATGTTCTGGCCCGCCGTATCATGATAATCGTTGATCAAAGTTTGTGCGACTTCATTTTATGTAATATTCGTATTTGCACTTGTTATCTAATTCTAACCACGGGGATTCTTAACCGTCTTTATTGTTGCTATTATATTTTTTCACTCAACAAATGAGATTGGTCATTTATTGACTTCTTTCAAACGAATTTCTAAAATTGTGTTTTCTTGCATTTTAAAGCCTTATTTTGTGTATTTTTTGACTGATGTTAATGAAAAAATCCCACTGGTTAGAATTGGAAATGTTTAATCATGTTAACAGGACATCGATGAAAAACATCTTTGCTGATTCGATTGTTTCTTTTTTGTCCTGTATAAATATGTCAAATAAATAAATATAATTATGGGTGATATGAGCATGCTACCCATTTATTCTATGCAGGATGACAATTTCCTCATGAAATCTGCCAGTACATACTCAACTTCAACTTTAAACATTCTGCGTCACAGTATACACAATCCGTCTATGAAAAGTGTTGGAAGAATTTGAAAATGAAATTGCCGATAAACTCATTAATAATACACCGGAGGAATTGCTTCATATTGACACAAAATGACTCTGTAACCAAATTATCATCGTCGTATCATTTTACTGTTAATCATTTAAATTCAATCGAATATACGAAAAGGAATGAGTTTTTGATTATGAATGTGAATATAAGAAGCTTAAGTAAATTTTTTGACCAGTTACACCAACTTGTAAATACTCAGCTATCTCCATATTTCATGGATAAGCTTTTTAATAGCAGAGACATTGCGTAATGACCCTCACTCGTTTCATAACAAACACTGAATATAAACTAATTAATCAAAATAGAAGAAATACGATTTGCGGAGGTGTTCGCGATGTATATCTCCAATAATTTTAACTATGATATAAAAAAATACTGCAATTTCATTATATGACAGATGCCCTCGGTCCCTCTTTATTGAAATTAAGTTTACTAATCATTGAAAAAGAACAATATTGCTAGAGTTGATGTACACAGACCTCCCAAATCAGATTACGATGAATTTGTTACATCCTTGAATGCTATTACTTCTTCCAATAAACTTCAAATAAAAAAGGTTTTATTTTGGGAGACCATAATCCGCAATGCCAAATTTGTCTCGATACAATGTTAACGCAATCATCATTGTGACTAATTAACAAGCCTACACGTATTAATCACTCTTCCGCTTTACTCATCGTAAAAATCTAATCAAACTTATCAACTAATAATTGTTCTGGTATCATAAAAGCTGATATAGGTGACACTTTCCTGTATTTTCTTTTCCACCAATCTTTGGCACCGCGAACTGTTCACACAAAAAAGCACACATTTTTGCTATTACTCCGAAGAAAAAATGAACAGGTTTAAGCACAGCCTAAGTTTGATAGATCGGCTGGGCGTGTTAAATCAAAGGGATGTAAGCGAGGCTTTAGAATCATTTTAACGTATATTCACTCATTATTATGAAAGAGATATCCATTTTCAAAATCTCTCAGCACGTTCAAGCTACATAAAAGTCTCACGTGCTCCATGTATTACTACACTCCTCTTACGCTGTATAAATGAGAAAAATCGGCCCTACTTTAATAATAATAATAATAACGAATATTTATAAAGCGCACTTTTCTCATTACTAACTCCAGGCGCTTTACAAAACAAAATCCACAAAATGCACAAATCTCTCTCCAGAATTTTAACAACATAATATCATTTGTAACTCTGAGGGAATAAAACCTTTTAAACATGTTTCTGAAAGGCTTCTAGGCATTGAATGTTTCGAATGGCACTTGGCAGCTTGTTCCAGAGGACTGGTGCAACATGCACGGTCCCCATAATGGTTGGTTCGGGCTCTGGGGACTTCTAGGATGGTAGAGGCAGAAGAACGGAGTGAGTAATGTGATTGCTTTATGGTGAGGAGATCTTTGAGGTACTCAAATAAAGCAACTACAACGGTTCACAATAAACAGAAATACGACAATTATAGGAGCATTTCAACAACCATTCTTCGTATTGCAAAAAGGTAATACTTCTTTAATCAATTTGAAGTCCACGAAAAATATATGACTAACACATTGAAACTTATGAGCTCTGCCCTTAATAAAAATGAAACAATAAGAAATATGGCGTCTCTGTTACACAAGATCCTTTGCAAATTGCGGAAAGTCTGAACAATTACTTTACACACGTTGGCCTTCATCTTGCCATTAAAGTTTCCTATTCAAGGAGACCTTTCATACCTTCTTCAAGGACCCTAACCCACAATCTTTATTTTCCGTTCCAGTACAAGAGACAGAAATATTAAATATCATTAATAACCTTAACAACAAAAAGAGTGCTGGATATGAAGGTATATCAAACAGTCTTTTAAGACATGTAAGAGTTCGCATTGACAAACCTTTAACATATATATATATATATATATATATATATATATATATATATATCGAATTTATCACTACTTTGTGGCAAGATCCCTTCAAAAATGTAAATACATAAAACTGTTCCAGTTAAAAAAAGGCTAAATAAAAGGTTTGAAGAGACCAATATCTTTATCAACCACCTTTTCAAAAATAATGGACAAAATTGTTTACACCCGTGTGTTAAATTTCTTTGACGACTGCGAAATGTTTAATGATTCACAATTTAGTTTTCGTGAACAACATAAGACAACACACGCGATGCTCTTATTCATAGAAAAAGTAGCTAAATCAATAGATAATTTCTCCCATACAGTTGGTATCTTCCTGGACCTCTCCAAGGCCTTCGACACGGTTGATCGTGGTATACTTCTCTACAAACTATCACACTACGGTGCACGAGGAAGGACCATGGTGCGGTTCAGGAACTGCCTTACAAACCGAACTCACTTTGTTTCCATTTATAATTCTGTATCAGCCTCAAAGGCGTTACAATGTGGGGTTCCTCAAGGTTCTCTCCTCCTTGGTCCCCTTCTTTTCCTTATATTTCAAAAATTCCTCTGATATATTATCTTTTCTCCTTTTTGCCGATGACTCTAACATTTTATATTTACATCGTGATCCTCACATTCTCTTAGATACTATAAACGTAGAAAGACATTATATGAATGACTCGATCCAAGCAAATAGTTATCACTCAATACATAGGTAAAACTAATTTCATGTTTTTTAGTAATGCACTTGCCCAGTTACCTGGCGATATCTTTTTCAATTACACAAAAATGTATTGATTGCACGAATTTTTTTAGGAATCTCTATAGATACATGAAAACAAACACATTGATCATTTGTGAAAAATCTATTCTGGAAAAAAATACAGGTGATCAAATAAACCAAACTTTTGCTTGCCTTCCCGTATTTTATTGATCCTCTGCTTTATCCACATTCTTCCTTATTTAAACCATGGTATTCTTGGGTGGGGAAACGCACCAAAAATCCACACTTTTCTTGTTACAAGAACGAGCAGTGAGAATAATAAATAATGACAAATTCTTTTCCAATACAGAAAATCTATTTGTTGAAAATAAAAACCTTAACATACACGATTTATTTTCATTCCATTTAGGAATATTCATGTTTTAATCAAAATCCAATCAGTTACCCAGCGCTCGTACAGAATTATTTACAAGTAATGTACATTTACACACATACCCTACTTGATGTCATAACCAATATCATCTTTCTCTAGCCGGAACAGTCTTTACACTAGGGACTTTTAGACTCGCACGAAGACAATAGGGATTGCTACGTTCGACGTCCTATGCACTGTCTTGAATGGACGTCACACGTGTCAGTCCACACAAATCTAAAAGTCCCTAATAGTGTATATACTGGACCAATGTACTAGAGTACGCTTGATGCCTCCCAAAACATCATACACGTATCTTTTTTTTCTCCCAAGAAATACCTTAAGCTTACTCTTTTGAATTCACACTCAGCTCCAGCTATATGCAACCCTAAGTTGTCAGTATGCGCAATCAATTTAATTATGCACAAACACATGTTATTATGGAAATGCATCACGAAGCACGAATTTGATTTGATATTCTATTTGGTCTTCGTGCTCACACCTTCCGATTCCTCCCAGTGAATTTCTTTGTTTTCTCTCTAAGGAATGAAAAATAGTCATATATTTAAGTGTCATTGGTGTTCTAATGAAACAACACTTACTAAAATATTATTTCACGTTTTATCTTTCTTTACACATCTCATTTTCACGTGACCGCTCGTGACTAAAGTTTTTACAAATATTACTACTACAGAAATGATAATGTTATTAAGAAAAATGGGTGCTGAAGAGAATACAGTGGCAAACAACATAACTTGTACACAAAGTCAGTATGTAATTTTTGTTTAACCGTACCCTGTTGTTGATATAAATAGGTACAGTAGTACTGCAGCATATGCTACTGAGTAGTCAATTTGTTCTCCTTCGTGTGTACAGATCGAAAATATTTGCAAAACTTTCATACTGAAACATAAACGACTATGTTGACTTTTTTTTTTTTAGTTTTGTAAGATTTTAGACAATTCTAAATATTATTTGACATATTGGAGGTGCGCCTGGAGACCGATTCATTTTTGGATTCCACTATTGCTTCCTCAGACTGTGCTGCTGTCGAAGGCTTGCACGAGAAGAGCTGTCGCAGGGCCATACGAAATTCCGGGAACCACACGATGTAGATAACGGGATTCATGCACGAATTATAGGTGGTGAAAACGATGATGAACTTGTGCAGGGGACCTCCGATGTAGGTGGGTGGTAGTACGCCGATGGTGTAGAGAAAGAAACTGAACTGACCCGGGCCCCAGGTGATGATAAACACGATGATGACGATGGACATGAGCTTGAGGACGCGGTTACGAGCCTTGATGTGGAAAGACACGGCTTCCTGGCCCTTGAAGTGAACAGAGTGTTGATGAAGCTTGCAGGCAATGAACACCTGGGTGATCAACATCACCATGACAGGTAGGACGAAGCGGTAGATGAACATGAAGTATCCGAGCGTGACCTTAGCGGCGTTGGTGGGGAAGTACAGGGTACAGGTGTGGGTCACCTCATTTGCGATCACTGCCGTTGCGATAAAGATGCCATAGACCAAAAAGGAGACGATCCAGATGATGGATATCACAATGAACAGCATCTGCTTCCGGGCCATGAGTTGGTTGAACTGCAGTGGGTAGACAACAGCTAAGAACCGTTCTATGGATATCGCCATGAGGATGTAGCTAGATGCTGTGAAGGCAACGAAGAGAAAGAACCCTGGTAGGGTCATCTTGCAGTAGAACTGTCCCAGAGGTGAGTCCGGAACGGTTGCCGCTGATGGCACAGGGATAGTGAAGATGGACGTCAAGAAGTCCGCAAAGGCTAAAGCGCTCATCAAGGTATCGGTCGAACGGCTAGCAGCGCGTCGCTTCCGGAGGGCTAATATAACCAACAGGTTACCCACTATCCCAAGAACAGACGAACATAGATGAAGTATTTCAGAGTAGGACCAATCGATATGCTTCCATGACCAGTCGATTTCGGTGTTCGCAGTCGGGGCCAAATCCACGATGGTCGTCATGGTCGTCAAGTCCATTGTTGCCATTTCTGTTGCGAAATCCATCTTTATGAGATAAATTATATACCAACGTGATATTTCAGTTTATGTGCACACGCATTCTCTTCATGTCGCTAGAAAAAAACGTTCAATCCTAGGCTCCTGGGAGACACAGGTGTGTCAATATCTTCTCACAATTCCCTTGCAATATGATGATTACTTCGAACCACGAAGCTAAATAACCACCTGAAAGCACAATCAGCAAATATAAAAGGGAAACATTGATTTTGCTACGCTAGATTGCATTTTCAATATACCTGATTCGCACTCGTGCGCACCAAACAATGTAGGAATTCGAGTGAGACAAATGGGTAGTCCGGTGGGAATTAATTCATTAAGTTGTTCGAGCGCTGTAATAAAAGCCAGGGTTATAATAATGGAGCGCCGATTCGGGCACTCATACAAGACTTCGATGTGTTGATTATTGACATGATTAATTCAATGATTGGATTGTGAGAAATACACCTATTAAATTGCATCGAACATTAAAGAGTAGAATGAGTTCTGGACAAATTCAGGTGATGAATATTGTTCGAGCTTTTTTAATTCCTATTATTGCTATTTGGACATAGAGAAAGAATAACAAGTGAGGAATATCACGTGAAAATAATATCTTTGGTCTGGGAATGCATTGGTGTTTCAAATAGGACAACTAAAAGATTGAATTAAAGACTAAATAGTAAAATAAACTGAAACAAAGGAGGTATACACCTGTACCTCTTTTGTTACACGCTAACCAATAACTAAACTAGTCTTGGATCTCAGCTTTAAATCTGGTTTTCAATGTTACCAAAAGGATAGTTATTAAAGTTAAGTTTCATCTCTTTTGGTTCCACTAGAAAATGTAAAACGTTGTCTTTAAAATTCTTATTAAAAATCCAAATAGCGTAATTGATTCAGGGTCCTCAAACAATTTAATTTATATTTAACATATACAACATGTATATATTTAAGATCGACCTTTTGATACAAAAATAGGTAGAACAGCTCACTCACCAACATTTAGTTGAATTATGTAGATTATACGCACATACTAAGGTAGCAGCACAACCATCTCCTCTTAATAATCGAATTATTTCCTCATTAAATGACACAGTTACCAACAATTAAAACAAAAAATGGACGACGGAAATTGTTTAACCGCTTGTGGCTCCAGAATCACGAACATGTTTGTAAATCAGTCGAGATCACATTTGAGAGAGAGAGAGAGAGGGAGGACGGTTTCAAAATGTTCCAATTTATACCCTCCCTCTTCGGGTTATCTACCATTTACCCGTATGATGAAATCGAATTAGAATACACCCCCTTCTAAATGGAATGCCCCGATTGGTGAATGCATGAGTGCAATTTTCTCTGAAATATGATTTGATACTTTTTTTGGTATTGAATTACAGAGCACTTTTCATCGTTGGCTGTGTTGGAAAAGTACAAAACGAGGGCAGTTTTATGAGACTTTATTTTCCACACCTGCGCGAAAGTGCCAAGTAAAAAGTGGAGTAATTAATCTAACTCGGTAAGTCTCTCCCAGTGGCGATGACGGTGCATATTCAATTATAATGGTAAAGGCAGCTAGCTGGAAACAACGTTTTATCGAAATAATTTTAAGAAATTTGAATTCTCTAATGATTGGCGGTGTTAAAAAAAATACATCATCTCCAGCAAATTTGTTTATTTCTGCGGTAAGCATATTTTACGTGATCATTTTCGAGATGTAAACACATCTTATGTCATAATATAATAAACAATGCCATTGAAAATGAATAGAAAACGTGACAAGAGAGACAAATTTGCAAATTAAATGGATTTTTGATTAAAGATTAACGTTTTTGAGTTTATAACGCTAGATCTTTTGTTGATACATGTCAACGAGAAAGATAGAAATAGGGAAAAATAAAGGTTTGCATTCACCTATTTTTAGAGGAAAAAAGAGGATTGGAATAGCATTATTCATGCCCAAAGACAAAAGAATATTCTTTCCAAACTTGATTTGCTTTGTTTTGGATTTTGTATTGGTTTAGTTTTCTGTTTAGTGTGGGTTTTATTCTAGGTTTATTTTTGGTTTTCGTTTTGTGTTTGTATTTGGTTTTGTTTTGTTCTGTTTTGTTTTTAGGTTTGTTGTTGTTTATCATGCCTTATTCTCGATTTGTTGTAAGCACATAACGTTAAACTGCTCTATTTGAAAAGTACTCATTCACTGTACATTGTTTTAAATATATTTCGTGTTCAATCTTAAAATTCTATGAAAGTCTGCTGGCTAAGTTAAAGGTTTCCTTTAAGTGGGACGAGTTCAGAACTTATATTTAGTTGCTAAAATACCACCGACCGCACTGTTTCAGTATTCAGAGATCATGCAGTTGTAATCCTTCTCACCCGACCGAGTTCAAAAGGAAAAATGTCATCTAAATATCAGAGCCTCATCATGATGATTATTGTATAAAGCGATTATTCTATTTCTGGTACGTAATCCGATTGACTATTAGTAAACAAAAAACACGATTATGATCATGAAATTTGATGATTATGTTTTTATAAAACACAATTCATCTCCGTAGTTCTCAATCCATACCCGCATTTGAGTTTGTTAATGGATTTAGAGGGAATTTCAATGAAAATTTGATAGACACGAAAGCAGGAGACCGGAATTTATTATTTAATTTTCACTATTTACTAATTTATAAAGCAGAGGTGAGACAAAGAGGGAGCAGGAGGGATGTAGAGAAAGAGAGAGAGAGAGAGAGAGAGAGAGAGAGAGAGAGAGAGAGAGAGAGAGAGAGAGAGGGGAGAATTTAAAGGGATAGTTGAGTTCTGATGCAGAGGGTGCTACACACAATAACTTGTTGTGAGATAATGAACAACTGAGTGTTTTGAAATTTTGAAATTATCTTTGTTTGATCAAAATCAGTTCAGAGACGGCTGAAATATAACGAGTTCTAATACTTGTGTACTACTACCAAGATATTTTGAAAAATTTGAAAAAACCGTTAAAAAAAACGAAATAACGCCTTTTACGTCGTATTTCAGCCAATGCCGATGTCGGCTTTTTTGTTGGCATTTTCGTGTTGTTTATATAACCTACAATTAGCCGGCTCATGTTTCGTTATTTAATAATTAATTAACGGTCACCGTCTTTTTTGGAGAGTGGAGCTGAATTGGTATGATCGTATTGGCTAAATTGCACACATTTTGGGGTCTAAAATTACCTTCATAGCAATTTTAGGTTCTAAAAGGGCACTATAAATGTCATAGATAAGAACAACAGCAATAACCATGCACTGTGAAGGCATTTGCCGTCTGAAAACGGAACTCAACTATCCCTTTAACGTGTCGATAGATGACAAAATGGTAACATAAATTATACATTGTTGACTTTAACTGTCTTATTTTATTTGCCAAATTGCCATTATCGATGATGTCATCTACAGGCACTATATTGCTTTGTTATGGACCCAACATGTGGTGTGTATATGAAATTAAACAAAATACTTCAATGTTGATAATTCTCCGTCACGGTAATATACAAATAATAATTCAAACAATAGAAATAAAAATAATTACACTTTTTCACTATGACCGTTTTTTATATTATTTCTGCAGAAAGTGAACTCAAAGTCAAAATTAAACAAAATAATACATATACATATCCCTTCTCTCTTCTCTCTCTCTCTCTCTCTCTCTCTCTCTTTCTTTCAATACCACATTATTTGTTTCGTTACTCTTTTTTCTCAATCTCTCATTTGTTCTCTCTGCTTTCTTTGCCTCTCCTGCGCTAGTTCTCTCTCTCTCTCTCTCTCTCTCTCTCTCTCCCTCTCTCTCTATTTCTCCCTCCCCTTCCCTCTTGTTATATCTCCTCTCTCCCTCTCTCCCTTCTCGCCCCTCTCCCCCTCTCTCTCCCTCCCCCTCTTGTTATATTTCCTATCCCTCTCCCCACTCTCTCTCTATCTCTCTCTCTCTCTATTTTTCTCTATCTCTCTGTTCCCCCTCTTTTTCTATCTTCCCCCGTTCATTTTCCCTAATTCCAAACGGACCAATTAGTCATGTCAGTGCTTACGTCACCCCGAAAAGGCAGAATTCGACAAAGCAATACTTCCTTCTTTTTGTTTTATGGTAGGGTAAACTTTACACAACAAATATGCTAACGCCTGTTGCGATTTATCGTGTATTGAATTATGATAAGAGAATAATCAAATTAATTTTATTTATTCCGTGGCAGGTCTTGCGATTGTTACAAATATATAACTTATTTAAAACTGGGTAACTTTAAAACGTCTAATGAGATTAAACACAGATGTGATTAAGCCATAGAGGTATATCGACCGGTATACAATTTGTTTCTCGCAAGGGTGCATTTTCTGTATGTGAATTAATTTAACACGGCAAAGGGTAATGGCTTCCACTTTTTCTAAAAAAGTAACGTTTTAAAAACGAGGGCAGTTGATTCTAAAAGTTGTGTTATCTGGTTTTCATCATCTTTGATGCTCAAACAGATGAAATGTATGTGCTCGGTGTTTTTTCCGTTTTACCGTTAGTTGACTCTCATATTTGATTCAATTAACAATGCAATATACAAGAGAAGAATGCAAGGAGAGAAGTAAGAGAACGAGCGAAAGATATATATATATATTTGTTGTTGGGGGGTTAAAACAAAGGAGGAGGAAGGGAAAGAGATTTTATTTACACTTTTAACCAAATCTATCTAAAAATATATGGAATAGAGTGCCGTAGCTGCGACATCATACAAATCTATTTTTCAGAATTTCTCAATTTTTACTTCATTTTCCGAAAGAGCATCAAAGTATTGGCTGAGATATGACCATCTGAATAATAGATTTCTAATTGGTCAGTGTTATTTGCTCTGGTTCGTAATGCTATGAACCGGAGCAAAATAACACTGAGTTCCAATTAGAAATCTATTTATTCAGATGGTCATATCTCAGTCAGCCAATTGAACGTATTCAATTGATTTTCGACATTTGTACATTATTTTTGATGCTCTTTCGGAAAATGAAGTTAAAATTGAGAAATTCTCAAAATGTTTTTTGATGACGTCACTGTATTAAAATAAGATGTCACAACACGATTTTTAGCAATTAAATGCCAAAGACCTGACAAAGGCTTGTTGGGGGGGGGGGGGGTAGCGACCCTATACCCCTCAGGGCATCAGTGAAGAA